GCGTTTTGTAATTCATGATTTTTGATTGTTTGTTATTGCAATTCGCAACAGAGCTGGTCAATCAATCGAAGCAATCAAACGCTATCGCTTTCGATTAGGTCCAGACCACAAAAAACATATTCATATCAACAACAAAAACTAACAAAGCGCACAAAAAACTAAACTATATGAAACTCTGTTGAGTAATTGTCGACTCGATGATTTCTCAAGTCTTAATTCGATTTTATCTACAAATTACATAGGTTAATTTTATACTATTAAAGTATCGCGTATCGATCATGTGTGTGTGTTAATTTATGCGTTGGAATGAGTAATAAAACGAGAAGTATAAATGTATTGCGAATAATTGCAAATTCATCGTGACATTGAACGGTTTTGCAGACATTGCACACTTTGTACGACTATGGAGTCGATAAATTGTTCACTCCCAGTGCGTTACACACCTTAAAGGCGAGTGAAATGTTCTCGTTGGCGTGTAAGGTGCGTGAAAACGTTTTTTTCTTCTTTCTCAAACCAGGTCGTCGTTAGTATTCCATCATGACATATTTTAGAAGTGAAAAACACTAATATTGACATCCATAGGTGTAATAATTATTTCCGAATATTCGGCATTTGGCGCCGCGCAGATGTATGCTTTTGATGTGGTATCAAACAAATGTATGCTTTGAAATTACCCAACTATTCTAATTAATAAATCCATAAAAACAACGCATTGCCATACAACTTTTTAATTAATATCCACGTTCAATTGATATTTTATTTCAGTGGATAATTATTTATTGAGTTTATTCAATTTTGTGATTTTAAATTCAAGTTACAACTGTTAACATTGTTCCTGTTCAGATTGGCAAACATGTAGGTACCTTGTAGCTCTCGATAAGCAAACATGATAAAATTTACAACGTCTTACATTGTGGTTTCTTGTCAGTCTCTTTATGTTATGTCGATTGAACGTTTCCTATGTGAGATTACACTTTAAACTTACAGGATCTTACCTAGAAATTTACTGCAAACCGTAATAAAATTAAACATTGTAAATTAAAGTTTTAATTTATTACATACTGCTTTGATAAGTGAATTTTTTAATGTAATAAAATGTTTTCACTGATTTTACCCGTTGATTTTGCTGATTTTGACATGAACTGTATTTGCATGTCGTTAAAATACATGTTGCTATCGCTCGTGAAGATAATCTAACAAGACGTTAATGTAAATCTAATCGTCGTATCGTTTATCGTCGGCTTATCGCCATCGGTGCGTTCACCAAGTCACTAATTCATTACGGCAGGTAGACAACGCCTCAGAAGCAAACCAGCGAGCGTTTTGGTAAGTGCGCAAATCCGCGATGCTTTTCCATGCAATTTCACTCTCTTTAACACCAACCGGCAATCTGCGACCACATTTACATTACTATAATACCAGATTAATGCTGTTTTCAGCAATTTGCAATTTGAGATAGTGCATTAATCACGTTCTTTGGCGTCGATTAGATTGAACTGTAATTGAACATGATGGGCTTATTTTCAACGTCATGTAATCATAATGTAAACGAGTGCGGACGACAAAACTAAAGCAAAGCGAAGTTGTAAACTAGCAAAAACATTGGAGAAAGGTTCCTCGGATGTTGGCGTGCATTTAAAAGGTATTAAAAGTAGGAGGCTACAGATCAAGATAAGCGAAAGTTTCAATTAAGTGTAAAATGCGAAGAGTGTGACTTTGGTGTTATATAATTATTTTAGTAATTATATTCCTTAATCACTATCGTCTTAACTAAAGTAACTAACATACAAAATTGTTACAAGTAACATTTTTAAATAATGAAGTCTAACAAAGCAAATTTTTAATTTTAAAAAATGTATATATTATCAGGTTAATGTTATTGTTTAATATTGCTATGTGAAACTTTTGAAGAGCCTAAATAAATTTGAAACTAACCACGAACTGATCGCCTATCACAAACAACCATTACGTTTACAATCCGCTTATTATTTCGACGCAATAATGAGTTGTGCTTTGACGAGGGAAAATTGTGAAATTTCATACAATTTCATATTGCATCAACCGCAAAACAATAACAACAACCTTATGCGATATCACACACACGTCCTGCTGTCCTGGCGGGCGCTTCGATTGCGGCGCGCCTAATTATCCAGGATTATGGACAGCGCCGCTGTGCTGCGTAAACAGTGGTTTTATTTAGCATCAAATAGAAGGATTAAGGATTATGGACGCATTATGCATCATGCAAATCTAGCCGTTTCAAATTAATAGAAAAGATTTTAATAAATTTATCTAGTTAAGTCAATAATATCAATAATAATTAGTAATTTTATTGATTTTGAAAATGTAACTGTTAGAAAATTGTTAAAAAATCATTTGGATAAGAAAAAATTAAAATTTGAAAAATTTTAACTTAGAAAAAATTTCTAGCGATAAAATTAAATTTTCTACTAAATATAAACCTTTAGAAAGAAACATTATCACTTTTTGTTTATAATATGTACAATTTCATAACTTTGTGTTTATAGTAGATTTAAATAAAACACAGTTATTTAAATGCTTTGCATTTCAAGTGCGCTACCGCAAAATATATGAAATATTTTTGTTTGAAAGGCAAAAAAGAAGAACGCAACAAACTTTCGTTTTACAACTTTGCGGACTAATGAATACTAATAATCCGCCAAACGAATAAAAATAAAATCAAGCTTTAAAAATTGTTTAAAACCACATTGAAACAGTCAATACACATTGAAATGTGTGTATTTTCTGTTAGAGTAAGCATAACTTAAATAAGTAACCACTAGGTAAATAAGCAGCAAATAAACCATAAGAAATAAGTAAAAGTAATTTCTATTTATACAGTACTGACATGTAATCCTCAATTTATAATCCAGCTACTCTGTAATCTTTCCTGTCAAGTGCATGTTTAATAATTCTATGCCTTCCAGTGACGCATTTTAAGCCGTAATGAATGACTTTCAACGCGTGTAAATTGTGATTAAAGAGTTACGCGTGTTGCGCACTTACTATTTGCTTTAAACTTGTATCTATTCATATATATTTAATATATTTAACAATTATAAATTTATTTGTTGCTAGTGTTAATGTAGTATGTGGGTTTAGCACTTGTTTTACTTTTCGTTTCATTTTTTTACGTTCGTTTTTATCTTTTCAATTTCGTTTTTGTTGTCACGTCATGCTCACTTGCACGCCTATACGGTACTCGGTTTACGCACACGTATTTACTTTTGTTACCTTTTGTTTCTTGTGGAATGCAAAATGCATTGCCGAGCACAAATAATAAAAAAACCGTTCGCGTGCTAAAATGTAATCGAAATATGTACTCGTAACATTCGGTAATGCACTGCACATAAACTAAATAATAAAGTGACTTGACTTAACTTGTTGTCTTACATTGATTTACTCTTTGTATTTGCATTGCATCTATGCGTATTTTTTTCTGTGCGCATGTTTCACTTGTGATTTGAATATGAAATTTTGAGCAGAATTTTCGACTCGTAACGCATTATAATGAACGCGCGCGCGCCATGCACTATTTGTCAATTTGGTAATTTCTTGTCTTCGTGCTTTGCGCTTTGATTTTGACTTGCGTGGCGTGGCGTGGCTGGGCACGATGAAAGAGTTCGCAAGTCGATTTTTATTCGATTTCGGATTACGTACTGACGGTGGTATGAGGTGAGCAAAACCGCAATTGCCGATCGAAATGTAACAGCACAGTGGCGCACGTGCGTTGATTATGTAATACAGTAACACTTCAACAACGATTTAATTTTTCTACAACTTTACAGCTGACAACTGAAACAACTACTAACAATCTATCATCAAAATATTTGTGCAAATAATGTTTTACAATATTCTAGTCTCCGATAATTTAAAATTTAATCAATATTAAGTTATTTTAATTATTTTACTAATTTGCACTAAAATATTCCGATTGAGTACTGAGTTTTTGTTTCTTTTTTGGTCCCATATGGACCATATTATAATTTATGACAAAACAGTGCTTTATGACCCGGATTTGACATTGACTTCTTCACATAGAAGCAAAAAGGTAGAAGGTTACGACTTTATTCTGATTAAATCTCGATTGAACACATCGATAAACACATAATTGTTCATATGTGCGCTGAACCGACGTAGAAATTCAAATGAATTCCTAATATGTTATTCCAAAACTCACGAATTACAGAGAGTTTAGTAAAAGGTGCGGGTGTGTTCGGACATAACCCTGGCCATGTTAATTACATGATTTATACACATTAACATGATTATTCGTTGGGTGTCGTGAATTGTTATAATTATCGGTTTAGTTTTCGAAGCGTAGCCACGCACCAAAATTAGAAGGAAAATTATACAATGTTTTTGTTTGTGGGTTGAGATGTAGACATTTTTACCGGGGTGTGGTTTATAATAGGTGGTCAAATAAAATTAGTCAATCCGACACTGAATATGTGTACATACGATTAATTTCATTATAAATTTATGTGAGGTGTGTAACATGGAAGTAAATTTTAAATTGCGGCGAAGGAGTTGTTTCAGCAGCGGCTGTAACCTTGGTCTTTTACTCTCATTCCTATTATATTCAAATTAAGACAAGACTTGAGTGTGCAACAAATAAAATGTGGAATAAAATTATACTTAGGTGTGGAGGAAGTGATAAATTTATGGCGTAAATATTTTTGTTGAAAAAAAAATAAATTTCTACGGCGCCTCCACCATTTTTTAAATATAAAATATTAAAATGTTGAAATATGTAATAAACTTAATTAAGTAAGCAGCAAGCAGGGTAATTATACGTTTTCCATTTCTTTTAAGTTTTACTAATTATTAACAAGGTGAGTAGTCAAGACACGTTTTCGGCCGCGCGCACGTTCATCGGCCACACAACTCCACTTTCTTACTCAAACTGCTTGCGCTGTTTTTCGTGCAGCGTAGTAGAAGGCGCATAGTGAAGACAATAGCAGTGACCTAGAGAGGAGGCTTAAGCCATAGCGGCGCGCGTCTTGCTGGCGAAGGTGTGAGGCGCGCTCAGTTGCTCAGCAGCCGCCACGCCGACCACTTCTACCTGCCGCAACGAGAAGAAGAAGAAACACGACGCTGCGCGCACCTCTTCCGGTAAGTGTCATCGCATTATAGAAAATGCCGGCGCGGCGCCCTACCACCGCCTCTCATTGTCATCTCGTTGAGAATTTCCACTGGTGGGTGGATGCTGTGAATGGATTGTGTGTTTGTGTGTGTGTGGATTGTAGTGAGAGCAAAGGGCGGATCTTTGCAATCATCGATATTATAAATAATTTAATGTTGTGTGACTCTGGTTGTGGTGATTTTCATTCAGTCGGTGACTACAATGCGCGCATGCGACACTAACCCATAATCATGGATTATTTAAGTGTGAATATAATTTTAAAGTGAAAAATTTTTAAATTTTTTTTATAACAAACGATGATAAAGAAAAATTTTTGGAGCAAGTTTATTCTAAGACAAATGTTTTCCGGTAGTCCTGTCGAACGCATGATAAATTTATTCCTGCCGTGCGCGACTTATTGTGACGTATACAAATTTAGTTTCCGTTACGACTTTGATATTTGATACATAAATATTTCGGATTCAGATTCCGGTCTTCAGATCCTTAACGTTTTTCTTTTCGGTTTTTTTTTTATTTTGGAGAAAGCAAATCCAAGTCCTCATTTTTGATATCGTCGATATCTGTTTACGGACGTGCTCGGCAGCGATCCGGCGATTTTCGGCCATATTTCACTCTCTCGACGTCGCATATTTCCTCATATTTCCTCGGAATTTCCACGTAGCGCAAACACATCGCGACGACAGTTTTCACACTCGCTTGCTCCGCGGCAGGGAAGAAAAAGAGACGCTGGAAGGCGAGAATACTGCGAATGAGCATATTTTTCTTTTCGAGCCGATCATCCGGCAATCACTTCCGGTGCCCGCGGAGATCAAAAATGCGCACGCGAATAACAACCAGACGATTTCGTTTTCCGCGAAGACGAAGCCTTTCACACATTGCGCATAAAACACCAACAGATATACAGTGCGTTAACACAACATCAAATTACTTCCGGAAAGTTCATTTTGATATAATATTACTTATTTCTGCGTTAAGAAAGTGTAAAAACTTGAAATTTTGAAAATTGTTACACAGAATGTGATCGTATGCATAAATTTAGTTTTCATGAACAAAGTGTATATTCTGTGAAATGTTGTTGTTTGAGAAAACGTAATAACAACAAAGACGATTTTCCTCCCGGTGCGTTTGAAGATGAAGGCGGCTTTGATCGCTTTCGGCGAGATGTAAGCGAGGCGCTTCTTTCTCGTCTTGCTCTGCGGTTTGCATTTTGCATAGCACGCTTTTCAATGCATATATGTTGACGCATGCGTGCGCAAGTCTGTGTGCATATCAGACGCGTCCCATCTGCCGTTTTGTTCGGTTTATCTGTTTGTATACGTGTCGCTCGAGCGCTCCAAGCTGCACGCTACATAATAAACGTACATCCTTGTTGTCATAGCTGTGCGAATATAAAATAAACACCCAGCGGGCATCGAGAAATGCGTTAAGATCTAATAGCATTTTTCGCAACTACGCTAACAAATAAAGTTGCCACGATAAAATCAAACGCAACATGATTTTTTGCATTTTTACGTATTAAAAATATGTAAATAATAAAATTCGTAATCGATAGTTGTCTGCGTTTTCATGACGGCTGTGTGGTCATAACATTGTCATAACATTGCATTACAAGCGAAGGAGGAGTGCACATTGCTATCAGGTCGTAAAACTTTGATTGTCCTGCTCGTCATCAGCAAGAAAAGGTCGCAAAAATTCATGGCGCTCAGTACCTGATACAAACATAAACTTTTTAAACATTTTAAACTAAAATAAACTGAATATTTTATTTTTTAAAATTAAATTTGCCATAAAGTGAGCTTAATTAGGTTAATCAACATTTTTTTCTTTAATTTATTATAAATAAGCTTTAATTGTCGATTGTTCAATTGTTAATTGGATTAACATACTGATTATTTTCTTTTGTTAAAATTTAACCTGCATTTCACCTTAAACACTCACTTAAATTTCTTCTTCTCTTTTTGTGTTGCTTAGTTAACTCAGCTGGAAGTCTACTAACACACATTCTCTTTTTGCTTTTTCGTTCTTCTACTTAAACGCGCGTACCGACAGCTTCCTGATCAGTTCTATCTTACCTTTCGTCTTGTCTGCTTGCCTTAATAAGTATCTGAATGCGTTTACTCTAGTAGTAACAGCTAGGCAATGGCCGAGTAAGTCGTACTACTCAATGAATTTTCAACGGCGATTAGTTTCAAGGCCGGCGACCGCATTCTCGATTATTAAAGCACATAGACTCAAAGTCTCGAAGATGTCGATGTTAAATCTATCTATATAAATAGAATTAATGTTGTTGCAAGCTCACTGAGAGTTGATTATAAATTATCCGCAAACGATCATTACTAACAATCATGTTTTATTTGTTTTAAGTTAAGTCAACTTGCGCTAACCTTGTAGATTTTATCCTGGGATTATTAAATTTATTGAATGAAAATTTATCTCTAAATAAATCTTATAAAAAATAAACGAATGTACTCTCTGCAGTGCCTAGCAAGTATACAAATCGATAGTCATCTTCTTCATATTCTTCACTACTTTATATTCTTCTCCATGAGTTTACCAAGTACAAGTATGTATTGAGTGAGTCTGAAGCGTGAAGCCTGTTACTTGGGCTTGGTCTCGTTTTCATTTCACCTTTCTCTTCGCAATAAATCGAAGACGAAACCAGCGGATATGAATAAATCCACGTTCTGCTCTCCAGCTGTGGAGGTTTAAAACATTTATTTGTATTTTTCATTGATTTTGAGTTGTAATGTAAATTGTAGTGAGTTTTATTGTTTGTTTTACCAAACGGTTGGCTGAATATATTGCGGAAAAGTCCCAAGACGATCGCGTTGTAAGTTGCAGGCGCTGTGAAGCTGTCTTCCGCGCGCACACGCTCTACTAAAATTGATTGGTTTCACGAGTATTAAAGTGCACTGCTTTAAAAATGGAATTTATTTAGCCGCACGGCGCTGCATCTGCATCTTTGCATCCGGATGTTCCCGCAGGATTGAACATAAGTACGTCTGACGTGCACGTCGCGCTACTCGGTACTACGAACTTGTAAAACCACGCAAAATAAGAAGAAACTAAATCAAATCAAGTCGGGAACATTCATCTCTTATCTTATTTTTTTACGACAAATAAATTCAGCATTTTATGTAATTTTGAGAGATATTACGTAGAAATTAGTTAAAAATTGCAGTAAATTATGTTTTATCGTAAAAAAATTAAAGGAAGCGGAAATAGTCGAACAAAGTCATTTTAACACTCGCTACGAGATCACTTCTTTTCTCAAACAATAATTCTCCGCAAAGAAAAGATAATAAATCATGAGTAAATTTTTCTACATAACAAAAACGTCGAAAAACTCCAAGAAAACCAAAAAGAAAGTCGAATACTCATAAACTTTGCATGCATTTCACAAAACTACAAAATACAAATTCAGAATTCAGATAATAAGCGATAAAATGAGGAACTAAATATTAAAATACTATTTTGATGTTCTTCCTCGTTTTATGCAACAATTTCTTGCTTCTTGTTTCTCGTACGGCGCTGTAAATTGGTTGGTAATAATCTAATAGCCCGTAACTAATAAGTAGCACGAAATCAGCGCAATTGCGCAAGAGATGGCAGAGTGGATGAGTGGAAGCACCACGTGATAGCGCGATTTCAAGCATTTGTTACATTTCTAATTAATGCGTAACCGGGTAGCGAAACCGTAAGACTTTACCGATCACGTTTTAGTGCGCCAACTTAACGGAGTAACTTCCACGACCGTGCGGCGAAAACGAAAACGTAACCGAAGTTATGTTACCGGAGAAAAACCAGCGAGCATAGCTAATGAATTAATTTCTTAATGAATGGAGAAATTGAGCAATTCAATTAGCTTCAATCGTCGGATGTATACTATTGTCTTAGAAAACATTATGATGCATCCATTATGGAATTACTTTTATATTAGGAGATTTAAAAATAAAAACTTCTGAAATTTTGTGACAATACTTTGTGAATATGTGAATTTTGCACTCGGCAATTTTGCACAAAATTTATTCGCACATATCACGCATTCATCGACATTGTTTCGGGTGTTTTCCGCCGCTTTATGTTTATTTTACTTTGGCGCGATGCGTGCGCGTAAATATAATAAAAACGCGGCGTCGTGCTTGCAAGGATTTACAGCGACGACACGAGGACATTCTCGAGCGCTTCGAACTCGCCGGAAATGTATCGCGATAAAAGTGCTCGCGAGTCCTTGCGCGCCAGCGTTTTATACCGCCATCATATCATATCGTATTTTCTTGCGACGAGGCGCGCAATTTGTTGGTTCAGAAACCCAATGATGGTGGATACTAGAATCGGAGGTTTTTTTGTGCTATTGCGCCGAGAACAACCATTTCGTGAACGGGAGAATAATGTTTGCTCTGAGAGCTGAAAAATAAAGATAAATACATAAAATTTGGTCATTGGATTCCTTTTTTATTTAGTTTAGTAATTTTTAAAATTATAAGCCCAAATAATTCGTTGATATCAGCTAAAATATTAAATTTAAAAGAATTTAAAATTTATTTTATAATTTCTAAGCATTCTAAGCTGTCATAGTGAGCTACTTTTTATAATAAATTATTTTGTATTCAATTCTTCAATATCCTAATATATCTTCATCTCGTTAGACATGGCAGGTCTCTTTATTCTCGCCTCGATACGCCACAAATAACCAATTAACCTTTCTCCGCAATTATCATCGACTTTTAATGCACTCGCGCATTTATTATACTCGCGGCGGCTCCGGCACCGCGTCGAATCGAACATGACAACTAACAACTTCCGTGCTATTGACACTAGATGACTGGATTATTTATAAATGGCAAGGAATACGCTTTGTAATTTTGCAACTTTGTACATTTCACAGTTCACAACTCACAGCTTACAAGCACATTATATTCTGCATTAAGTATATTGCTTGAAAATTGCAATCCAATTTCATTTAGAA